GTTAGCTCAGGGCCAGTCTTCCTCAGCGAAAAAAAGAGGAGGATTGGCAGATGTTAGCACAGGGCTGATCTCCTCACACACAAAAAATTCTCACTTAAGCAAATTCTCACTTTGTACTTTCCCCCTTTAAAGGATAACTCGCAAATGAAGAAAAAAGCATGATGAGGTCTAAACAACCACGGTCTCCTGTAGCTAAAATTCTTCTACCAGGATGTTCCCTCTCCCATCTCGAACCTTGCAATCCTGTAGCATTTGCTCTGCAAGGATTCTCAAATGTCATTTTCTTGGGCAGATAAAAAGACCATGGCCTGGAAAGGGGCAGTGATTTTCCCAGGGTCACCCAGCAACTAAGGGGCAAAGCCAGGGCTAAACCCCAGGCTTCTTGGTTTGTGAACTTGCTCTTTGCACAGCATGCTGCTATATCCAGTTTCATGGAAGGCTGGAAGATGGAGGCACTTGTTCTGGAAAACCTTCAACCCCTGTCCCCTCCCAACTGATCCACATTGAGTCTGTAGTAAAAGGCTTTGACTAAGCTTTAGTGAGAGTCTTTATCCTTAGAATATTGTCTTGTGCTGAGGAGGTGGAAGGGGTGTAAGGAGCTGCAGGCAGCATGAGAAGAAATGAGAGGTTCAGATTATAAACCCTGTCTTCCTGAGAATTTGCCATGTGGGATTACAGGAAGAGTGTCACTGTTTTCTCTCAACTTTCCATAAGAACCACTTATACATTTTGGAAAAAATTCATTTAAAATTACAAATATATGCTTACCAATGAAAATAAAATATGGCAACAATGAAAACTGCAGAAACACTATCCAAGAAAAGCCACATGAACATATAGTAACTTGGTGTCTGCAAAACAGAAAACAAACCACAGTTAAAGAACTTTACAGTCAGAAGGGATTTTAGATCATATGGGCCAAGTCCCTTGCTCTGCTGCCAGGGCTGGGGGAGGGAGTGGCAGACCAAGTGGAGGAATCTTGATTGATGTTGTGGTCTCAAACGGAGAGAGTACCAGCTGCTATCCTAACAATCACCCCCTAACATGTGCTGGGGGCTCTACAAGGGATAAAACACTGCACAACCTTCACCTTCCTTGACCCTCAAGACAGAGGTCTGAGAGAGTCCCAGAGAAGTCATATAGCAAGTCTATTCTGGACCCAGGACTACAGCCCAAGTTTCATGACTTCCAGTGCTCTATGTTTTCATGGCTTCCCACACCTGGCTGTGCATCCAAATCTACCTGGGCAGCTTTTAGTAATACAGGTTCCTGCGTCTCACTACAGACCTCAGGAATTTGAATTTCTGCGTTTTTAAAAAGCTCCCAGGTGATGCTAAAGCAACTAGTCTGTGAACTAGCATTTAGGAATCATTGTTCTAAATCATCATGCTTCAAAGTATGATGAAATTATAATTCTCCCTTACCCAACATGCCCCCTTCTCCACACTCCTTGACTGAATATCACTATCACTCATCTCTCAGAGCTCCATCTCCTGGGTCCTCTTGTGAGAGTTTTATAATTCCCTGGTTTGATCATCCCTTTTCACCTCCATTGTTCCCCCTTCAATTGTACTCCAGGGCTGGCACTTTTTACTCTTTCTTACGCCATTTTCCACCCCATCCCAAGGCCTTGTCTTGGACTGAATGGTAATACTAATAATAACTCTAATGATCAATAGTGATAACAATAACTAACAATTAATGAGCATTTACAGGAGCTATGGAAGTGTTCTAAGCACTTTAAGGGTATTTTCACACCTAATCTTCACAGCAGCCCTACTAGGCAGGTACAGTAGAAGCTCTTAACCAATGTCCACTAAACTGAGGCTTTTAGTCCCCTCTGGGAAGCATACTGACTGACACCTCGGTCTGCTCCAGGATGCCCATCAGGGGAGCTGCACGTTCACCAAGAATCAGTTGTTCTTGCTCCACACATGGCTTAGAACACTTGTACTTGTTGTTATAATCGTGTAGTATAATTAAATGCTACCTAAATCTGTAAAGTCTGAGTGAAAAAAAGTATGGCATTTTCAAGAAAACTAAGTCAATGCTTTGAAAAACTCAATGAAGACAGAATAGGTCATTAAAAAATAAACTGCAAGTGAATTATGTGTAAGTGAAACACTATAAGAGATGGGGGTAGGACGATTATAAAAATCTGAGTGGATTCCTCATTCAGATTGTTTTCCCCAATGATTTTAGGTTCTTGCTCTGCTTTAAAGAAATAAAACTTAGAAATCGTAGCTGGTTCATTTGGATGTTTAAATAATCAAGAGAGTACAGAATTCAATCAGCTGAAGTATCCTCAAAGAAAAGACCTTGACTCTATGTCAAAGGTCTTTTAATTTATTTATTTATTTATTTATTTTAAATTAAAATAAAATGTGTGAGGTATGTGTGTGCTATATTGTTTACAAAAATGACCACAATATTCCTCCCAAAATGCAGACCCCTATGCAATGTGACTTTGCTTTTCCTCCCCATGAGGAGGTAAAGTCTGTTTCTCCCCTGTGCCACCTTGAATCTGGCCTTGGCCACTTGATTTTCTTTGGCAAATGGAACATCAGCAAATATCCCACGAGAAGAACCTTGAAAAGTGCATGTGCACTGGGTCTTGACTTTTGCTGCCGGGAACCCATTGCCAGCAGGTGAACATGCTCAAGTTGGCCTCCTTGAGGATGAGTGACCACACTCATGGAGGAAGAGAGACTCCAGTAATCCCAGGTAAGACCCTCGACATATGACTAAGGCCATCCGAGACTATCCAGCCCAGCCAAGTGGGCTCAGATCAGAAGAACCACTCAGCCATCATATAGAATGTGACAAATAAATATTTGTTTATTTTAAGCCACTAAGTTTTAGGTGTTTTTTTTTTTAAGTAGTAAAAGCTGATAGACATATATCATTTTTTTTACGATTCTCCACTTCAACTTTTTTAATTAACAGACCAATGATCAGACCAGATTGTGTTGGATAAATGTGGTTCTATTCTACTATTACCATCCCCAATTTACAAATAAACAAACTGAGGCACAGACAAGTTAACTAACATTTCTAAGTTCACACAGTAAGTAGTACAGCCAAGATTTGAATCTTCATATTCTAACTCCAGAGTGTGGGCTGCTTGGGAAAACCTGTGGGATACGGGCCCCACATCCCTGAACAAAGTGACATTGCGTCCTTTAAAAAGGCCCAGGCCAGGTGTAGAAGGAAGTCTTTTTTTTACTTATATCCTTTTATACTTTTTGAATTTTGAGTCACATGAACTTATTATTAATTCAAATATTATTGAATCAAGTATTAAAACAAAAGTTTTAATAAATGAATTAAAACTTCATTTTAGTTAATGAAGTTTTATTTAATATACCAAATGGGACAACTTTGAGACATTATTGATTTAGGGGAGTAGGATTATAGAGGGGTGTGTTGCTTCCTAATTTATGCATTTTTGTAATGACTGGATTTTATATAATGAACAAATTTACTTTGCAATCAATTTTAAAAAACAAAAATGTTAGAAAAATATATAGGACACACATGAAAGGGTATTGTATGGGACAGACAAGTGAAGAGGCTTCACCCATGCCAAGGGACCTGCCATCCAATGTTTCCTTCAGGGTCATCTCCAGAAAGCTGCTCAAGCCACCAAGAAAGAAGGGGTCAGCAATTTTACACTGCCGCCAGAGGGCCTCAACACAGTACTGGCCCTATGAGACTGTGCCCTTGACCCTGATTCTCCCTTCTCTTGGTCCTGACCCTGAACAGGTCAGAAACAGGGGCTAGTGAGGCTGGAGGTATGGAGAAGGCAATCTGAAATATTTAGGCTTCTCTGCCTAAAGCTTTACTTTCAAGGCAGTGTGGAGTTTGGTTATTACTCTGGACTGGACACTTTAATTTTGAATTGAGGCTTTTGGGTGACTACAAGCAAACTTTTAAAAATTACCTAAGAGTGAAAAGGAAAGCTACGGGACCTGAGTAAGATTTCATTCAGGGGCACAGAAAAGTTTAGCTCACAGAGCAGTTTAAAGAGTCAATGGAGGGGCCAGCCCGGTGGCGTAGTGGTTAAGTTCATGTGCTCCACTTCGGTGGCCCGGGGTTCGCAGGTTTGGATCCCGGGTGTGGACATACGCACTGCTTATCAAGCCATGCTGTGGCAGGCATCTCATGTATAAAGTAGAGGAAGATGGGCACAGATGTTAGCCCCGGGCCAATCTTCCTCAGCAAAAAGAGGATTGGCCACAGATGTTAGCTCACAGCCCTTCTTCCTCACCAAAAAAAAAAGAGTCAACGGAGAGAAATTAAGCTGTTTTCTATTGTATGCTATTGCATTCCACTCGTCAACCTACTCGACACAGACAAGAAAAACGGATTCTGTTGCAGTTAATTGTTTAGCCAGGGGTCCCTCCAAAGATAATAAGTGATTGGTTTTAGCTGGGATTGTAACCCAGGTCTTCAGGTGCACAGGCCTCTGGCAATAAGCAGTAGCAGGGCCAGAAGGGGAAATCAAGGTAGGTGACTGGACACTGGCTCTCCTCTTCAAAAGCATTTTGTTCAAGACACATGGTTTTCACTTTGGAGTCAAGTACTCTTGGTTTTCTCTCCATACCCCATGCTACTGTCATTGTTGCCATGCTCCTAGGAAGGTGGGGCTGCAATAACAAAACTCTGGAGTCAGATCTCATTCTGAATCTTGCATCATGCAACCATGTGCAAGGATCTTAATATCTTCGAGCTTCAGTTTCCTCATTGGGATAATAATAGTGACTAACTCAAAGGGCTAAATTACATAATGCATGAAAATCACATTGTGAGGATTCAAAATATGGCAATTATTATAACAATACTAATTTCTCCCTGAAAATCACAGAAGGATCTGGGTTAGAGAAGGAAGAATGCCACATCGCCAATATCACAGAAATCCCTGCTCTTGAGTAGCTCCCCAGGGGACTGCACAGTGCACAGTGTAGGGATGGGGTGGAGGACACAGACTCCTATTGTACCAGACTTGGAAGAACAATGTGGACAACCAGCTCACCATGAAGAAGTAAGGGTGATTTAGCTGACTTAGGATCTGAATGTTGTCTGTGGTCACTGAGTGAATCCTGGAGCACCAGGCCAGTGAGTACAGCCAAGGCTCATTGACGATGTATAAGTTGATGGTGATGTTAGCTGCTTTATAATCTCTGGAAAAAAACAGAACCCACAGGGGATTTAGACTTAATCTCACTCTCATTATATAAAAGAGGAACAGCCACCATGCTGTGAAAGGCTGTTGCTTAAATTGCCAGAAGGAGCTGGTCCCAGGACAACTTATGATATGACCTGCAGGATGGGCTCATGTTGCAATGAGATAAAGGACCGGATTTAATACCTCTGCTCCCATACCAACAGTAGTATGTTAGTAAACTGGATGTACTAAGGGAGAGAGAGAAGGAAGGAGAGAGGGAGGGAGAGAGAAAGGGAGGGAGAGAAAGAGAGAGAGAAAGAAAGAAACAAAGAAAAGGAAAGCCCTATTTGTAGCATTTGCCAATTTCCACAGTGTAAATACTCCTACCACAGCCATTTTTAAGCTACCACTGGTAAAACAGGTTTGCAAAGTTTCTGAATATTTAAAAATTGGCTCCCATGAGCTGGTACGAGCTAGCTCCAGCACATTATCGTATAGCAACTATACTTACTTCCATCAGAGCCTTGTCAGCCTCTACTCTATTTATCTGCTTTCCTATCAGCCTTCTTAACTTGACTACAAGCAAATTAAAAGCAGAGACTGTCTTATTCATCTCTGTATATCCAGTACCTGGCATAATACCTGCCTTCATAAATAGTAACTGAAGGAATGAATAAATGAATACCAATCTGGTGAATATATAAATTTCAAATATAAAGAATTTTTATAAGCTTTGAGTAGGCGGAATGGAACCCAACTTTTCCCAATGTATTGAACATCAGTAGATACTTGTGCACTGTCTATAGAGACAGGAAGAAAATAAGTAGAGGAACATCTAGTAATTCTAGTCAAATTGTCATTTTCAGGGATTAAATTTCTCAGAACATACACCATGTAAGTGCCTTCAAAAATTTTTTTTAACTCTGAGATGGTGTATCATATTGGAAACAGCTCTGTACAAGCCTGGGTTTGAATCCCAGCTCTGTCATATGCTAGCTTAGCAAGTTCTAAGCTCAGTGTATGAACTGTGAAATTAAAATAATAATAACACCTTTGCAGGAGTGCTTGCAATTAGTTACCCAATATGTTAGAATTATCTCTAAGACAATTCTACAGATCACCTAAAGATAAATTAAAGAAATAGAAATAAGGAAACAGTGGTAAAAAGCTACTTTTTAAATTTCTGAAACCAACACACAAAAACCAATCACATTTCTATATATTATTAATTAACATACAGAAATTTAAATTAAAAAACACAACACTAATAGCAATCATTCCAAAGAAAATTAAATACTTAGGTATAAATTTAACAAAACAAGTTCAGAATCTGTTAGCTGAAAACTACAAAATATTGATGAAAGTAATCAAAGAAGACTTAAATATATGGAGAGACATTTGTGTTCATGGATTGGAAGACTCAACATCATAAAGATGTCAATTCTCCTCAAACTGATGTGTAGGCTTAATGCAATTCCTATTAAAATCCAGGCAAGATTTTTGTATGATTAAGGCCAGCTGATTCTAAACTTTATATGGAAAGGCACAACCCCAAAATAACTAAATCAATCTTGAAAACAAATAAAGTGAGAAGGAATCACTCTACCCAATATTAAAACTTACTATATAGCTACAGTAATTAAGACAGTGTGGTATTAGTGAAGGGACAGACACATAGGTCAGTAGAACATAATTTAAAACCCATAAATAAACCCACACAAATATGCCCAAATGATATTTGGCAAAGGTTCAAAAGCAATTCAATGGAATAAGGAGAGTGTTTTCAACAAATGGTGCTGGAGCAATTGGACAGGTATAGGCCAAAAAAAACTAAACCTACACCACACACTTTATATAAAAGATTAATATATAAAAGAGCAAATAACATAAAAGAGCAAAATGGATCACAGACAAATATATACTGTAAAACTATAAAACTTTCAGAAGAAAACATAGGAGAAAATCTTCCAGATTTAAGGCTAAACAAGGAGCTCTTAGACTTGACTCTAAAAGCATGATCCATGAAAGGGAAAAATGATAAGTTAGATCTCATCAAAATTAAAACAACTTTTGCTCTGTTAAGACCCTGTTAAGAGGATCCTACAAACAAGCCACAGACTGGGACAAAATATTTGCAAACCAGATATCCAACAAAGGACTAGTATCTATAATATATAAAGAACTCTCAAAACTCAACAATAAAAGAATCAAGCAATCTAACTAGAAAAGATATGAAGAGATATTTCACTGTAGAGCACATACCACTGGCAAATAAGCACATAAGATGTTCAACATTATTAGCTGTCAGAGAATGAAAATTAAAACCACAAGGAGATATCACCTACACACCTATCAGAACGGTTACAATAAAAAATAGTGACAATGCCAAAAATTGGCAAGGATGCAGAGACTCTGGATCATCACACATTGTTGGTGGGAATGTAAAATAATATAGCCCCTCTGAAAAAGTTTGGCAGTATCTTATAAAACTAAACAAGTAATTACCACATCCCAACCATTGCATTCTTGGGCATTTATCCCACAGAAACAAAAACTTATGTTCTCAGGAGGGGATTCTGGGAAGATGGCAGAGAAGGAAGCACCAGGAATCTGTCTCCCCACCTAGACAACAACTGCACTGGTAGATTCTGTCTAATGTAACTGTTTTGGAAGTATGGAGTCTATTGAAAGCTTGCAACTTCCAGGGGAATGTTGGAATGGTAAGTTATGGTTAACTTTGGTCAATTTCAGCACTTAGCAGAGTAGCAGTTGCCCATCCCCCACTCCCTAGCCCCATAGCAGGCAGCTGTGCACATGTATCTGGAGCAGCTTGCTCACTGCTTGCAGGAGTCAAGGTGGGTCAAAACGAACCTATCCTGTAAATACTGGGGATCTGTGCTCTGATCACTGATTCTGGTCACAGAGATGCAGATAAAGAGGAGGTCACCCATTGTTGTTGCACCTCCCCCCATTATTGCAAATCCCTCCCCTTCCAGCTCAAGTGACTTCAAAGGGATTTAAAGGGCCAGCTCTCTTTCCTCCCTACCTTTCATTTTTCTGTTTTTTCTCCTTTTGGGAGCCAGACATTAAAGACTAGGACATTTAAAAGCAACTGTGTATATGGGGATAATTAGAAATTGACTGTGTATACCCAGAGAAAGGTACAGAAGAGATCTGAGAAGACCTTAAGTTTACACCTCAGGCTGATTCTTGGCACAGAGACAGCCAACAACAACAAACAAACAACAAAAAATAGCAAATCATGGTGAAGGGGGAGAATCTGATTTCCAGAGTTACCAGAGTATTAGATTCAAATGTCCAGTTTTCAACAAAAAAATCACAAGGCATACAAAGAAACAAGAAAGTACGGTCCATTCAAAGGAAAAAATAAATTAACAGAACTGTCTCTGAAAAAGAGCTGATGGCAGATTTACCAGACAAAGGCTTTAAAACAACCATCTTAAAGATACTCAAAGAACTACAGGAAGATGTGGATAAAGCAAGAAAAAAAAAAAAGTGTGAACAAAATGGAAATATTAAGAGACAAAAAACCTAAAAAGAAACCAAAAAGAAATTCTACAGCTGAAAAGTACATTAACTGAAATGAAAAACTGCCTATTAGGACTCAAAGGCATATTTGAGTAGGCAGAAGAAAGAATCAGTAAACTTCAAGCTAACAAGTCTGAAAAACAGAAAGAAAAAAGACTGAAGAAGAGTGAACAGTGTCTAAGAGATATGTGGGACACCATCAAAAAGATTAATATATGCACTGTCAGAGTCCCAGAAGAAGAGAGAGATAAAGGGGAAGAAAGAATATTTGAAAAAATAATGGCTGAAAACTTCCCAAATTTGATGAAAACATGAATGTAAACATCCAAGAAGCTCTTGGAACTCCAAAATGGATGAACTCAGAGAGACCCACACTAACACACATTATAATCAAACTTTCAAAAGCCAAAGATGAAGAGAATCTTGAAAGCACCAAGAGAGAAGTGACTTGTCACATACAAGGGATCCTCAATAAGATTATCAGCAGATTTCTCATCGGAAACTTTGGAGGCCAGAAGGCAGTAGACCCAAAGTGTTCAAGGAAAAAAACTGTCAACCAAGAATCCTATATCCAGCAAAACTGTCCTTCAAAAGTGAGGAGGAAATTAAGATGTGCCCAGATAAACTGAAGCTGAGAGAGTTCATGGCCACTAGACCTGCCCTGCATTGGAGTCCTGCAAGGTGAAATGAAAGGACACTAGACAGTAACTTGAAGCTGTATGGAGAAAGAGAGATCTCAATAAGAGTAAATACACAGGGAATTATAAAAGCTAGCACTATTGTAACAACGGCTTGTAACCATACTGTTTGTTTTCTATGATTTAAGAGACTAATACATCTAGAGAAAAAAACAATTAGTCAAAAAGCTAGTATTATTGTAACTTTGGTTTGTAACTCCACATGTTGTTTTTTATATAATTTAAGAGACTAATGCATCTAAAATGATTATTAATTTACACTTTTGGGCACACAATGTATAAAGATGTAATTTTCTGACATCAACAACTGAAAGGGGTAGGAATGGAGCTGTAAAGGATTAGAGTTCTCATATGTTACTGAAGTTAAGCTGCTATAAATTCAAATTAGACTGTTATAATTTTAGGATGTTAAATGTAATTCCCATGGTAACCACAAAGAAAATAGGTATAGAATATATATAAAAGCAAATGAGAAAACCATTTAGACATTTCACTACAAAAAAAATCAACTAAACACAAAAGAGAACAGTAATGCAGGAAATAAGGGACAAAAAACTATAAGGCGTATAAAAAAAAAAAACCAGGAATAAAATAACAAACATTTACAGAAATGACAGAAGTAACAAATGACACAAGTTTCTCCTTATCACTAATTATTTTAAATGTAAATATATTAAACTCTCAAATCAAAAGACAGAGATTAGCAGAATGGATAAAAACACATGACCCAACTTTATGCTGTCTACACGAGACTCATTTTAGATCCAAA